GTGCATGCTAATGAGCGAGGCACGGGGAATCAATAACTCCTTGGGAGGAGTGTGAGGGCCATACAAATACTCGGACAAGCCAACAAACGAGACAATCGCTCCAGTGAGAGTGCGCAGAGAGGCTCTGTGCATACGCATTGCTTCTGCTGTATAAATTATTAGACAGATCCTAAGAAAATTACCACGTTAATTAACTGCAAATAGCCTCCCTTTGTCTTCTGTGTTTTGCATAATAACCTCATTTCAACCTGCTGAATCTCCCCACTGTGAGCTCTGTTGAATGGGTTGTTCCGAACACAATTAGGTTTTAATTGTGAGCCTCGATAGAATGATCAGAGCCTTTTGTGACTCTGCATCTCAGAGGATTGTTACGGTACGATACAAGAGATTCTCCTGAGGATAGAGAAGGTTGTCACTTTAACTCTTGAGACTGGTTCGTAAGATTAGAGCAAGAAAGGCCAACACGTCAGTCTTTCCTTCAACAGAGCAGCTTAGTATTTATTCATAAGCTGTGAGGAATCCTCACCTGTCTTCAAACAAAGCAAGTGCACATAGTTTGCGTGAGGTAGAGCACAACAATTAACAGATAAACGTCTTCATTACCTTCGCCATGGAGTTATGTTTTTGGTTTGTTTGTCAGCAGGATTACGGAGGAAACGCTACCGACACGAGGGTGTAGCATTGGCCAACAAAGAACCCATAAAGTTTTGATACACACATTTTATTTCACAGCATTGGTGGAAGTCTACGGTAAATGGACCAATGACGTTTCAAAAATGTTACGAGTTCTTCCTTGACCGATGCTACACCTTTCCACCAAGTGTCATGGGAGTCGGGCGCGTAGTTTGTAGTGCTTACATTATACATTCAAACAAACTATGATACCCGTCTCCCAAACCATTGTCACTACAAAGGCTGCAGAGCAATTTAAACTCTTGTTTAAATTCTACATAAATATCACATGATGTCATATTTCCGAACTATTTTTGGTACTTTAGCATGAATTGATCTTTCAGCCTCTGTTTTGAACCGTTAGTTTCAACCAGCTGCTGTTGTTACACAGATGCTTAACCTTAAAGGCTCAGGGCGATGCATGTACACCGGTATTATGCAGCTGTTATCATTTTGACCCTCCAAAATCACGCCTTTCACCCCCACTCTAGCTGAAAAGATGCTGGTATGTTGCATGAATGTGCATAAAACCTCCTCGGGTGAATTCCCCAACAACCTGACAAAAGAAGGCTCCTCAAGTTGTAGATGTCAGACTTACATGAATAGAGGTACTGGAAGAAGCAGAGATAGACCAGTAATTGAAAAGAGAGCGCTATACCGCGCTCAAAACCATCCCCTTGTGTCAGCACTTTGTGGGTGTTTTTTTGGTAAATACGACGGCCTCGGGAGCCTTTCAGCTGAGGAGAAGCAGACGCATTCACCCGGTAAGTGGATAGCTTCTATTTACATTGTCACGGGTAGAGAGGCGCCCTGCTGCGTATCTCTCCCATCCAGACCGCTCGGAGGCTAACATATATCAGTTCACATGTTTGCAGCCTAGTACACTGCCGTACAGGCACAATCCCATTTCCAGCTCAGTGCTTTATCACCTTGATGACCCGAAATGTATCGCGCTCCAATGCAAGCTGCCACGACATGAACGACACCCAATTCTTCGTCTCTGTGTGGCTTTGTGCGCCTCCTCTCCGGCAAACTGAACACAGTTCTGCAGCTGCAGTGTTGCTCCTTATTCCTGATTGCGTGTCAGGAAGATTGAGAATTTCAATTGGGGTTTCTCAATGAGTCCCCTTTGGCTTTTCAAGTGCGTCCATGGAGAATAATGGACATGCCAATAGTCAGACCCGAGCTGCAAACAACCAACAGGGACAGATCCATCAAGATTTACCAACACCACCATCACCAATACCTCTCAGACACACACCTCCCACCCACTTCCACTTGTGACTGGAGGGCTGACTGACTGTCGGATAAATCAGCAATTAGCAAGGAGTTGTGAGTAGCTCCTCGGCAGCAGATTAATGGACCTTTGTTCATTTTGTTCGGCCAAAGGGGTACACTGAAGGGCGGAGCTCTTAAAGAGACATAAACGAAACCAAACAAAGTAATGAGGGAAATGTTGGGATCGGAGCGGTTTATGAGAATGCATATTTTAACTTGCATATATTATCATTTTTCTACTTTTTTTACATCTAATCCTGAGTTAAACCAATATAAAACCTTGTTTTTGTCATCTGCATCTCAGTGTTTGGTAATGTGCAGTGCTGAGCTGAAAGCATCTTTGCTGTTCAAATCTCATAACAACCCGAGCATTCTACTCCAACAACACACCTGTAATCCCCTCTGTAGCTGCCAAGACATCGCAAAGATTTACTATATTATGTGTAACTTATTCTTATCTGTTTTATCCAGATTAAAAAGTATTGTGATGGAATCTCAGCTACGACATACAGCAGGTGTTCTTAGTTCAGGTGCGCTCAGAGAGAAAGTAGTTCCTTTTTTAAAAACACAGAACAAAGGGAACATTTGTATAAATACATTTGTGTATGTTAATAGAACAACACTAAGTCATCATTTCATTTGTATCTTTTTTTTAATGTCATGTCACTACAGAATTTTGTATTTAAATGAAACCTTCAAACCATCATCTCCTCCCATTCAGCATTTCCTAAAGTGCGTCCTGTTTCTTTATCAGCCAAATCAAACCCAAATATAGTGATGCAACAATTGACAGTTCGTTATGTTGGGGCATGCTACAAATCCAGGATGGAGCATCATGCTAGAAAGTAGGGCAGCTGCCTGGTGTCACAATTAAAATTGTAATCTGTCATAGGATTCAATCCAGATCACAGGCAGCGGTCTCCATTACTGCCTTGACAGATGCCCCCCCTCACTTCTTCCTCACTCCGCTCATCTCCTCTGCCGTGTTGACAGCAGATCGATTCATTCATCTCTTAAACAGGTTGCCCGTGGCTCTACGCCGTGGTTTGTTGTTATTGTCAGAGCTGTGAGTGTTCAGTGTGGTCATTTCACTTCAGCATTTTAAATGGTTTCCATGAGAACACAAGAGATTGTGATTGGGAGGATCGTGCCAGAAATGCAGAATTGTCTGATTTGTTTTGTAAGAGGAGTCGATTCAGAAGCATTGAATCGCTAATACATGCTTGTATTTTCGCAGAAGGGTTTAGTTCATGAATATCATGATTGGGTCATTTTGTCTAAAGTGTAAACAAATGACACACTTTTAAAATACTTTCTCTTTTGCTTTTTTTCCCCTCAAAGACACTGAGGGAATCATAGCTGGGAAGTGTTTTGATGCCAGACAGTAATTCATTGCACCGTCCACCGCCCACTGAGCAGGTGGAACATATGTGTGTTCTCACCAAAAATGTAAATTTCCTTTTCTGACAGACCAAAGAGAAGAAGACATGTCTTTGTGTTGGTAATGTGTTCTAATTATGAAGGAAGAGGGTGACTGTATTGCACGGCGAGAACGGCACCTCACATAATTTAAGACTTGTCTTTGTTTTTCTCAGAAAGGATGAAGTGATTACATTACAGCCTTTTGTGTCGCTGTCATTCCTCCAGCGCGGCGGAGTCTCCCTCATTGGGAAGCATTCCCCAAACAGCCTCTGCTTTGTCATGCCAGGAGATGGCAAAAAATTATATTGACGTCTTTTGTCCTGCTCTTATGTTAATATATTCAGAATGACTGCGGTGGTATGGTAGTGTGTGTGTGTGTGTGAAAACACAACTCCTCCCCTCCCCGTCCTCCTCATTGCTTTCCAATATATTTGTCCATCTGCGAAGGCAAATGAAACCAAAGGAGGTCTGGTGTGTTCCTGGTGCCAGATTCATTTCCAATGTGGATAGGGCTCACCGTGGGATTATGTCATGATTGCCCAAAACAATCCAAACCCAGGCTGTGGGGCTGCAGACTGAAGTGGCGCTGCACTGAGCATCATCATCATCATCATCATCATCATAACCTTGAAAGACCTTCGCTGGCAGAGAGAAGAGAGTGAAGAGGGCCTCTGAGTCGTAGCTGGGCGGATAGCGCCCCCTGTTGATCCTCCTGGAAACCAACCAGGAATCCAAGCAGACGGGGATGGTTGTGCAAACTAATGTGGAGAAGAGTCTCATAATAATCACAGCGTAGGTCTTTTTATTGACAGAGTCCCAGAGGACACAAACCTATCTATGCTTTCATTTACATAGAAGGAGGTTGGAGGAAACCAGTGAAACCACCAATCGACAAACTAGTCATTCTGATTTATTCTCATGTTCAATTCATTTCCAGCAGTAATCCTGCTGGTGTCCATTCGGGGCTCTTCAAAGACCCTTGTTGGTCCCTGGACTCCATTTCCAGATTAACTGATCCCAGGTGTAATGTTTAATCTACTCTATTACCACCATGAAGGCTTATTATTTTAGGGGGATAAATGGAGTTTAATTAAATTGAATATAACTGACCTACAGTCAAACAAATGTACACATAACGTGCATATGTAGGCACATTATATAAATCATAATGATGATATTATTGAATATACATTTAATAACATTTTCAGTTTTGTTACTACCCCCAAATTCATACTCCCAGTAGACCACACAACACAACAAATCTGTGCAATATAAATACACTGTGCAATACAACAATTATTCTGTCTGTATATATAATATTTTAGTTATTGTGGATTGTTTTACTTTTTTACTTATTTAATATTATTTACTGTTTTATTACCTATTTACTTATTTATTTGATCTTGTTTTTTTATTATGTCTCTTGTTTGCACTATCCACTATGCTGCTGTAATCCTGTAAATTTCCCTGCTGCGGGACTAATAAAGGATTATTTAATTTCATTTTATTTCATTTTATTTCATTTTATTTCATTTTATTTCATTTTATTTTATTTTATCACCTCCACACGATGAGTGTTTTATTTTGAAGGTCCCTGGCTCCTCCCACTACTTCCGTGTTTGCGTCTGTCTTGCGTGCCTCGTCTTTGCTGCTCCTGCAGACTCAGTAAAGAGTGTCTTGTGGCTGCTGTTTTGGGATAAATAATCATGTCTCTGGAGGTGGAATCCGCAGAGTAAGTAGTCCAGATAGTTACAGATAAAGCCAAGTTATTCATATAGTAGTTATATTGCCAAAAACTCTGCATTTTAATAGATGTTTAGCTATTGAGGCCTGCCTCATCCTTCGCTGCACCGCTAGCGTTAGCGCCCTGAGCTAACTTAAGCTAACTTAAGCTAACTTAAGCTAACTTACAGTCTCCCCCATAAATATAGTTTGCTCTATATTAATATTACTCAAAATTCTGCACCAGCATCCAACAAAGTCGCCTCAATCATTGCATACAAAATGCTTAAACTTAGCTATCTTACATTAAACGTGTATCCATATGTCTGTCACCGTGTGTTTCCCACAGCGTGATCCGTCTGATCATGCAGTACTTGAAGGAGAACAACCTGCAGCGGACTCTGGTCACCCTGCAGGAGGAGACCACCGTGTCTCTGAACACCGTGGACAGCATAGAGAGCTTTGTGGCCGACATAAACAGCGGTCACTGGGACACCGTCCTGCAGGCCATCCAGTCCCTCAAGCTGCCGGACAAGACCCTGATAGACCTCTATGAACAGGTGAGGGTTGGAGGAATGGTGGTCTACAGATAAACTCATTGTCAACTTTACATTTTGATATCCTTCTACAGTCCCAGTGCATCTATAGTGACATGTTATTGCCTTCTTTTATTTAGTTTTCTTCCACTTTATGCACTTAAATCACCAGGTGTTTGATTGCTGAATATTGTGTTGTTGTTGTTGTTGTTGTTGTTCTCCTCTCACCTCCTCCTTGGTCTGCAGTGTTGTTGGTTTAAGCATGACTGTGGTCCCTTGTCATGGTCCTCTAAATCTGAACGTGTGTGTTGTTTCCCGCCCAGGTGGTGTTGGAGCTGATCGAGCTGAGAGAGTTGGGTGCAGCCCGTTCCCTCCTCAGGCAGACCGACCCCATGATCATGCTGAAGCAGACCCAGCCGGAGAGATACATCCACCTGGAGAACCTGCTGGCTCGCTCCTACTTCGATCCCAGAGAGGTGAATCCCAACCAGACGCGTAACAAGATGCAGTCTTTGTCCAGGATCAGTTAGAACCCAACGCTTCAGCTGGTTCTTCATCGGGGACACATGTTTTATACCTAAGTTTGTTATTCAGATCCAGAGAGCATTATTTAACAGAGACTCTACTACATAAATCAGTATTTTTGTTTTTTAACATTTGTGTTTGTTGATGTCCAGGCGTACCCAGACGGCAGCAGTAAGGAGAAGCGCCGGTCGGCCATCGCCCAGGCACTGGCCGGGGAGGTCAGCGTGGTGCCGCCCTCTCGTCTCATGGCTCTGCTGGGACAGGTACGTGATCCAGAAACCTGCAGCTGGTGATGAGTGACAATCCTCAATACTCACCATAAAATAACTAATTTGTGACATATTGGCAACATATTTGCATAGTCCTCCCTCTTTATTCACGTTCCCCATACTTGCTAGTTATGCTAACATCCACATACAGTGCTGATGATGATTTTTCAACATTCTCCTCCTCCAGTCTCTGAAGTGGCAGCAGCATCAGGGCCTCCTGCCTCCTGGTATGACTATCGATTTGTTCAGGGGCAAAGCTGCTGTTAAAGATGTGGAGGAGGAGCGCTTCCCCACTCAGCTCAACAGACACATCAAGGTACCCACACAGCCAACCATTTGGTTTTGATTTTGCACTTCCAGGAGTTATGATACATTTCATGACTTTCTCTGACGTCACTCATTTCTCTTCCCTGCTCAGTTTGGACAGAAGTCTCACGTGGAGTGCTCCCGGTTCTCCCCCGATGGTCAGTACCTGGTCACCGGCTCTGTGGACGGCTTCATCGAGGTCTGGAACTTCACCACCGGCAAAATCCGAAAGGTAGCTTCTGCAAAACGACGACACATAAACCAGATGTGCTGTTTAATATGACACCACGTTTACTGTTATCATTCCTTAATGACTTGTGCTGTGTTGTAATCATTGCGTGCATTGTGCCGTACAGGATCTGAAGTACCAGGCTCAGGATAACTTCATGATGATGGACGACGCGGTGTTGTGTATGGGCTTCAGTCGGGACACGGAGATGTTGGCCACGGGAGCCCAGGATGGAAAGATCAAGGTAGACGAGAAACAATGCTTCCGTTTCTCTCATTGCTTCTACGTCCTTTTGTTGCTTCACAGCTAAAGTTATGGCGAGTTTGATGAGCAGCTTCTTTCTTCAGCACACGGGGTTATAGTTGCTGTCTCTTGTACACAAATCAGACTAGCAGCTGGTTTATGGTTGGTAAAAAATCATGAAAACCTCTTTTTCGATGAGGTGTGAAAGGCTGTAAAGTCAGAGATAAATGCAACTTTCTCTGTGCTGGTAAACCTTCAAAATATAACCCAGATTATCACCAATGTTAACGGTATAATGAAATCCAGAAAAACAGCTGTTTTCCTCCAATAGTATGAAATCCACTTATTTGCTGTGTATGTAGGTGTGGAAGATCCAGAGCGGTCAGTGTCTGAGGAGGTTTGAGCGCGCTCACAGTAAAGGAGTAACGTGCGTGAGTTTCTGTAAAGACAGCAGTCAGCTCCTCAGCGCCTCCTTCGACCAGATCATCAGGTAAACACACCGTCGCCTGTTTATGCTCCTCTTCACTCCACATCTTTTTTTAGGATAACTTCTTTGTGAACATGCTTTTAAATTCTTGCGTTTTTTGCTTCAGAATCCACGGACTGAAGTCGGGTAAAACTCTGAAGGACTTCCGCGGCCACACCTCCTTTGTGAACGAGGCCACGTTCACTCCAGACGGACACCACATCATCAGCGCCTCATCGGACGGGACGGTCAAGGTGAGAGAAGAAGTCTCTACAGTGAATGTCTTATTAGAGATTTCTAAGAACTATAATTGACAGCAAACTATATTTTTGTAACTTTTTTTAATGGAAAATTAAAAAAGCGCGCGCACTGTGTATCTTAAGCCACGCGTGTCTGACTCAGTGTCTCACCCCGCTGTGTTTGTCGACCCTTCTCCAGATGTGGAACATGAAGACCAGCGAGTGCACCAACACCTTCAAGCCTCTGGGCACGTCGGCCGGCACCGACATCACGGTCAACAACGTCATCCAGCTGCCCAAGAACCCGGAGCACTTTGTGGTGTGCAACCGCTCCAACACGGTGGTCATCATGAACATGCAGGGACAGGTGAGTCCACAACCTGGAGCAGGAAGTCAGAGCCCGGTGTTGTCATGTGTTCTCTCTTAAATACTGAGCAATAAACCTGGAATAGTGTTTCTTCTAAAACTGCCCCTGCCTACCTGCTCTGTGTGTTTGGATGCTCTTGTGTAGATCGTGAGGAGTTTCAGCTCCGGTAAGAGGGAAGGCGGTGACTTTGTGTGCTGCACCCTGTCTCCCCGCGGCGAGTGGATCTACTGCGTGGGCGAAGACTTTGTGCTCTACTGCTTCAGCACCGTCACCGGCAAGCTGGAGAGAACGCTGACGGTACGTTCACTGATCCCAGATCAAAGCCGGAGCCAGAAATATCTCAGCGCATTCCCTCCTCTGCTTCTGCTTAACGGTCTGACGTTAAAGTTTTGATTCAAGTCTTGAAGCTCTTTTGTCTTGCTTATTAAAGTTACTGTGAGGAACTTTCAACTGGTTATGAAACAGCGTCACTGTGACACTGGCGCCTTATAAGACCTACGTCAGTAAACGAGGCCGTCAGCAAGAAGATCGGCTGTTTCGAGATAGTTATTCTGAATGCGGTGATGCCGTGTACGATTCCGGGGCAATCGGACAAACTCATGCAGGTTCACCAAAGACTCAAGCAGATCCTCCAGCAGAGACCGGTCCACCGTGGACAGACCCAGATCCT